AACAACTGCATCACACGCACACAGGTACGCTAAAGAGCGCATGTCGTTTTCTGCCTCTAATCAATCCAATTTCTAGTAGTGTCTTGTTCCTGGTGTACTTTTTCCGGCAAATAAAGTTATTGATTGATTGCGAAACCACTAAGGATGCCAAGTTTTAGGTGCAGGGAAAACACAGATAAAAGCTTCAAACTCAAAGAGGAACTTTGAGAGATCCCTGCAAAAGTTGGAAACACTTGAACATAACGATAGTTATGTCGTACACAGGCTTAGCGCAATGAACTAGCTTTCGAAAAAAGGAGGGACGTGTGACTTCTGTGATTGCGGTCACATGCGAGAACACGTCATGCATTTCTGTGGCACGCTTGTTTTATGGGCTTAGCTGTTGGAGTCCTTCTTTTATAATAAATTTTATTTGTAGGTAATTTTCCTTTTCCATTACAGAAGTGGTTAAAAGGTCAGAGCTTGCTTCGTGGTTTTCTCTTTCTCGAACTAAGGCTTGAACATCATCTTTTAATTCCATATTTTAATGAGATTAAGCCCAATTATCTTTTACCCCATCATTTTTATAGAATATAAAGGGTCATATCTCCAGGAAATATGCGCTCAGCAAATCTTGATGGGCAGTGGTGAATATCTCAGTATTTTCTAATATTTTATTTCTTATGGATCTCCCACCTTTGCTGTTTCTTTACTAGCTTATGGATTTTTCGCAAATAGGATTGGACCTGTACCAACATCGTTGTGTGCGCAATTTCCATAGAGTACATAGCCCAACCTGTCTCTTTTGAAAGGCGTAGATATGTGAAATTCTAGACACCTGTCTGTTTTCAGCTTGTATTGCTTCACCTCCTTCAATCGATTGCGAGCTATTTTTTCCCATTAATTTTATCTAGTGGTCCATACCCCTGTTTTTCTTATTTTTCCCCTTATCATTCCACTCTTTCAGACCATGGCCGATCAGGGCTCTCCAAACGGTTCCACAGGAGCGCCTGGATCACCAAACCCTTACGATGTAGATTCGCCCGGTTACGAGCCCACATCATCGCCCCGGCGATCAGCTGATGGTTCACCTGGAAATGGCAGTGCTGTTGGAACGCCTTCACACGTTTCCGCGCCATCTTCACCGCTTTCAGCTCATGCCGATGAGTGAGTGTGGTTTTTTTCCTTTCTCTTTTCATTTTTTTATTAGATGTGAAATTTACATGTTTATATTCCTTAAGTACGGCGCCTTATGAGGTTAGCAGCTTTAAAAAGCTGCTTTGATGCTTTGAACCTCAAATGTCGAAATACAAGTTGAGCGGGGTGACCACGTAGCGTCATCGAACCACCTAGTACCAAAATCTAAGTGGTCGGACTAACATACTAACTGCCTGCTCAAAAAAGGGAATATAGTAGTA